CCCCACCTCCCACCAGCTCCCCGTGGACCTCCACCCCTCTGTAGCCGGGGGGAGATGCCCCTCTCCCTGCCTGCCCTTGTGCCCCTTCTCACATCCCACCGTGGGCAGGAGAACGGGGTAGCAAGGAGCGGCGCTGGGAGGCAGCCAGCAGCCGCAGGCCATGCTGAGGCAGCTGCAGTGAGGTGTGGGGGGGTCATCGAAAGCCCTTAGAACTGTCCCTGGCCCCAAGTCCCCCGAGGCAGCAGGCGCAGGGGGGCAGCCCTGCTCGGCAGGCAGGGGCTGGGGGGCTCCGGAGGCCCTGGCTGCAAGCGCAGCCCTGCTCATGCAGCAGCTTCTGTGCAGAGTTAAAGGTGAGCGCTGGCGTTTCTCGCAGTGCAGAGGCAGGAAACGGCCAGCCGGCAGCCCTGGCACGGGGGGGAAGCCCCCTGCCCTGATGGGGTGGTGGGACCGACCCTGGTGGCAGAGGGCAGCGAGGGGACCCGCTGCCTCGCAGGGGTCTGCCCTCAGAGGGGTCCAGGGCCCTCATTACAGGGTGGCCACAGCTTGCAGCCCTGGGGGCCAGCACAGGGGTTGTCACCGGTGGGGCTCCCACTCTGCCAGAAGGGGGTGGCCCCATGGTGCATCTTCTTGCCATGGCTTGTCCTGCCTGGGGAAGGAGCGTTTCCAGCATTGCCCTGGTCGGACTCAGTCATCCAGTGCCAGCGGCGCGCTGCGCCTGCCATGCGCTCAGGGAGCCGGGAGAGCCTCAGCTCAGCTTCATGGAGGGTCTGGGCTCCTGTAGCTGGTGGCTGTCCAGGCTGGCGGCAGGAGTGGTGGGTGATGCAGCCGACAGGGGCGGTGGCATTTGGGGAGGTCTTACTGCCAGCCTCTGAGCACCGGGGGGTTTCCTCCATCCCTCGGCCCTGCCTCCTCGTCCCAGGGATCTCAGCCGGGCTCTCCTCCGGGGCTCCCCTCTGTGATCCCTGCGGCTCACCCTCCTCGCTGCTCCGGTTCCTGGCTGGTGCAGAGCAGCTTGGCTGTGCTGCTGGGGTCTTGGCGGGGAAAGCGCAGCACAGCCGTCCCCTCCACAAAGCCGCACTGTTCAGAACAAATCCGCCTAGAATTGGGCTGCATTTTTGTCAAGTGATTCATCAGCACGTGAATGGAAAAGGCTGGAGCCCACTGAACCAGTAACCGTTCCCCGCGTCTGGAGCCACGGGGCCGGAGTCAGCGCGCAGCTCTCCAGCTCGGTTGCACCCAAGTTACGCCGCAGACGCGTGTGGAGCAGCGAAGGGCCTGGCACGCGGGAGGACGCGACAGCCGCTGGGTCAGGGGGCGAGGGGTGGCCCATGCCTGCGGTGACCCAGGCGCACTGCTGGCAGAGGAGCGGGCAGAGTCACTGGCAACGCGCAGGGATTGAGCCAGCGCTTGCCAAGCAGAGCTCCTCCAGCCTGGGTCAGGGACCGGGGTCGGGGGGCTGAGCCGAGGGGCTTACCCTGCTGCCCACTGAAGGCAAGGAGGCTGGGGGCTTCCTGCATGGCCTCGATGCTGCTGTGCTGCCAGTGTGCCTGGGCAGCCCAGCCCTTCCCCAAGGGAGGGGAGCACGGCTGGGGAAGGCCC